ACTTGGGGTAGGTTCGAGTTTTAGAGGTTCAAGTGTGTTTCGATTTTCAATCAGCAGCAATCTTCTTGCATGATGCTGCATTTTTCCATAAATATATTCATTGAAGAGGTAAGCTGAAAATTTGTTATGAGGCTTCCTCATACATATTTTCCCGCACACACACACACACACACACCTCGTGGTAAATACTGTACAATATTTTTATTGGACTCCTCAATCCTTCTTGGGTCGATAAAAGCGGTATTTTTGTTCATTGACATAAAAAAAAATATGGATGCATCACGAACTCATAAATTCGCTCGGAGAGAAGCCAGAGTTGATTACTTCTGGTTATTATAATACTTCTGATGAACAGCTCCAACATTTTCCAAAGTCAAGTCGCTCAGACTCACGGGCGTCTTCCGCGAGCATTGTTTCTTCCGCCGGCCTAGCAGTCTTTTGCGCTTGCTGCTGTGCGCCTTGGGGCACCGCTTCAATTTGCATCTTTTTCTCCGTCCACTCGGCAAAGACAGGAAAAACAACGCGAAGAACAAAAACAAGAGCAAGAACAGCAGCAGGAACTTCCAATCCCCAGCAGCAGTGGCCTTCGCCTCTTCAACTGCCCCGACGCCTGCACCCGCAAACAAGTCCCATATTTCGTCGAAACACGCGGTCAGCCCACAAAAGCAGGACTGGGGAAGGCCGAAGAGAAGTTTGAGCGAAAGTGCGGGAAAACGAGATTCGGTTCGGCCCGGGTTTTCCGAATGCTGAATCAGGTCCGGTTTCAACACTGGCAGCGATTTGCAAAGGGCTAAAGTCATCAGTAAAACGCGAATCCGGAAGCAACGTCGAGTCCAACATCCGGACGGTCCAGCGTAACCAAAACTGATTCCCAGCAAAATAACCGCCTGTTGCATGCATTCATTTTCCTTCAAAATGAATACATACAAAAAAAAGTTTAAATACCGTAGTTTAGTTTCTTTTAGGAGCTTACTATACATTCATGGATAACGCATCATCAAATTTTTCACAGTATTCCTGTATTTTCAATGTCATGCTCCATATACGGATATAGTCATGCATGTTTTGTTACGCCCAGCCTGTTATGGGTGAATTATTAGTTGGGAATATCTGCGTCCCAAAAACTCTGTGACTTCTGATGGTAATACAGTATCACACAAGTACTGGCCGTGGATGGCTACATGTCTGTCTTGTCAGATTGGCAACATTGGGTTAGCTTTGTTTCAGGTGAGAACCGTGAGATACCATGCTTATCAAGTACAGTACTATATAACCACCCTTCAGTGAGAAGGTACAATAATTTCAACTGCCATTGTCTTTCCGAAATTTCAGAGAAAGAAAACAGACTTTAATGCTACTTCTGACCAACTTATTATGCCAAAGAAAATTTCCTGTTGACCAGCAAAAAAACTTTTGCAGACCATCATGGTGAGATACCATATTTATCACGTACAGTACTATATATGTATATAACCACCCTCAGTGAGAAGGTACACTTGAACAATGTTCCTCAACCCGCAGGTACGCGGAACAGTGATGGTCCACGAAAGTTTTTTTGCTGGTCAACAGGAAATTTTCTTTGGCATAATAAATTGGTCAGAAGTAGCATTAAAGTCTGTTTTCTTTCTCTGAAATTTCGGAAAGACAATGGCAGTTGAAATTATCTGATGAAAAATAAAAGTTGGCTTTTCTTGGAGTAATTTTCATTGAGACAAATTTTCATGGGCTGAAATGAATTATTTCAATTTATCAACCTTAGGAAGCTTTTTTCAAGCCCCAATTTTTTGAAGACATTCCACTAAAGCTGCTCCATTGGTTCAAGGCTATATTTTTGCAAAAATCAGAAAAATTTCAAGTATCTACAATTAAGCATTTCAAACAAAACTTTTTGAGTCTCTAAAACTTTGCCGGTCCGCAGAAAACTTTTGGGAAATTTGCTGGTTCGCAAAAAATTTTATGGAAATTTTCCGGTCCGCAAGCCCGAAAAGATTGAGGAACACGAATGCAATAGAACAAGTAGCCACAGCAGAAGTCCGATTACTGTACTTGGGCCACTGTATTTCAATGATTTAATTATCATCGACGGTGGCCCGACCATCGACGGAGCATTGTGGGAACATTGGTAATATACAGAACAGTAATTTTGTGCCATTGTCGAAATATTTTTGTTCATCTTGCCAAATGAACTTTTATAATACTGTGCTCTGTTGCTCTGTTTGACGCATTCAAGTACCATGCGCCCTCGAGTAAGGAACGTGCCCCAATTTTTCACCTTGAAATTGCAATGAAATCTTATCCCAAGTAAGATGCGCACCCCGTTTTCAGTGTCTGAAAAACTACAATATTTGAATAAGAAGTGATACAAGAATTCAAGTTTTAGTATTAATGCAAAAATTTTCTAACTGTTCTGATTTTAAATAAAAGTTCCTGTAAAATGTTTCCCTCGATTCAAGCGTGATGCACAACTAAACTCTTCAAAAAAAAAGTTTACAATCGTATCCCTGCCCAAGACGCATACCCTCTTCATTTCATTAAAATTTTGAGAAATAGGTGCGCCTGGTACTTGAGTAAATACCGTAAGGTATTCTTAATCATCCACGCAACGGAAGCCATCACACTGTATAAACGGAATGCTGTAGCATTGATTCCGGGAAAATGGGACAGAACTCACAGAAAATATTCTATCGGTTTTTGTCCGATCATAAATGCTTGATTAAAAAAATTAAAACGGCGGGATTGACCTAATTACCTTCGAATAACATAAATGAACAATGGACAATAATGGAAGCAAAATTAAAATGAGGATGGAGCAGAGGAATGCGTTTTTCTCTCGCACACACTATTCCGACAAGAAAATAAAGTTAAAAACTTGAAATCCTGTCAAAGTAGCAGAATCATAAAGGCAAATGAATCGACGTACCGCACAGACTGCCAACAAGGCAAGAATGAGGAAATACACGAAGAAGAGATCGTCCGAAATTGTGTGACCCATGTAGTTGAAAATCTGGCATCTCGAAGCCGAAAAGCAAGTGCCCACGAATGTCGCCCAACACAGCCAGAAGCACCAGGACACGCAGTCATTGATTTGCAGGTAGGCAACAGTTAGGCCGCACAAGGCGGAAAACAATGCAAAGTAGTAAAATCGCCTCGCCCAGGGATCGATCAAGGAAGGAAGAATGCCGAAGCCCGTATGTAACAATCAGAAATATTTTGTTCAAACATGAAAAAATTCCGATCCTTTTCTGAGTTTGGATACCCCATTTGAGTGTTAACCATGAGCATTTTATTACAGCACTTGCTTTGACATTCTCTGAAGCGTGCGGGAATCCGTATATTTTCTTCACTGTGAATCGGAACCTTCTCCTGTATTCATGAAACATGTTTCCTCGTATACAGAAAGGAATTACAATACAGTGCAATTTCAGCTCTTGTGGACAATTTCCTTTGACTGTGCCTTGTCCAGTACCTTCTGATGGGGCGTGGTTGATATTCTCTCAATTTCACAAAAAGACCGATTTTATCAATCATGAGCCTAAAATCCTTTCACTTTCTTCATTGAAATTAAAAAATAAATAATAATAATACAGTAATTCTTGAACATTCGAGAAAATAGGCTGTAAAGAAATTAATTGAGTTTCTTGAGAAAGATTCTTCTTTTTCGAGCGCTTGAAAAAACGCTCAAAAACGGAACAAAAAAAGAACTTGCTAGACAACAGTTAAGTCAATTTTTCGTGAGTTAAGAAATGGGTGACAAAGATTCGTCTCAATTTCTGTCCGTGATACCTCAGATATCTCCAGCACATGAATCCTGCATGCACATGCAACACAGTTTAACCTCTCGCAAGTAAGACTTCAGTAAAAAATAAATTTCCAGTTATTGAAACAAGCTCGATTTCATCTCCACAACATGCTTGTCTAAAACGATTTTCAGTGTTTTTCAATTTTTCTTTCTATCCATATGGTTCTCTTCCCATGTTCGGGGTTCTCTACAACGAAATTCAAGAGACCAGAAAAAATATTTTTACAGAGAGTTTGTTAGAAATGAAACCTGTTCAGTAAGCATAATTTCGGCTCAAGGTTCCACTCGGAAACCCACGCTAGATTCATGCACCGGCGACATCTCTGAAGAAAACGCGAGATTTCATTCAGTACTGCCTTCACATACGATCACAAATGGATCGAAATAAACACCCAACTTCATTTTGCGCATAATACTTCATCCTCAGAAGGAAATCCGCGCCAAAATCTGTCACGCAGTAACAAATGAAAAAAAAAAACACACTCACTTCGCACCATGAGCAGTTCGGCGATCAGTTTCAATCCATTCCACCAGAAAAAATTCCCAAGCAGCACATATCCACTTCCGAAATCATTTGAGGGATCGGCCATCACATCATTCACATATCGAAGGATGTAAGCGCCACAGACGTTGAACAAAAGGACATTTACTGGGTCAACGCCGCGGTAGTACTCTTCCCATGCGAATCTTCTCGAGCCACTCAACTCGAAGTAAGTGTCGACATACTCCAAACCGTGAGCTGTTTCTTGGCAGACGCGGAAATTCACGAGATTGTCATCGTAATCATCATACTGAACAGGAAATATGTATGGCTCGAGATGAACATCGAAGCGCTTGAAGGTAATGTCAGCGTGAATGAGCGGAGTAGAGCCAGATTCGTGTCCTGTGGAATTACTCCAGCCAACAGGGAAAAACAAAAAACTTCGCTCGATCTCACGTTCAAAATTAGTTACTTGCTAAATTCGTCCGGAACACATCACGTGAATCGAACTCCCATTCGATTCTTCGGGATACCGGAGCCAGTTCGACTTCCGACGATGAGGAAACAGAGTCGCACGGACTGTTCTGAGGCGGGTCCATTCCTGTTGCATTTCCGTCTTCCATTCCATCTTCCCGATGGAAGGAATTGAATGGGAGGACTCAATCTAAAGATTAAAAACCTCACAAAAATTTATCGGGATAAGAAAAAAACAAGGCGGCGTCTTACGACTAGCAAAATCTATCCGTGCATTTGCTCGCTTGGGTGGAATTTCGCAAGAGGAACGCGAGTACCAAGTTCCACGCGCGATGATCAAGCGAACCAAGACACGGGATGACATCCTTTTCGAAAAGTCGTTCGGACACGTAACATTTAATAGTTGGAATCAAAATAAATCGATCAATCACGCATCACACAATGGATTTCCATCTGCCTCTCATCCACGTCGACAAATTCAAAATCACTCCATAAACTGTACGCGTTTGCATAGCTGTAACAAAAGCAGGAAATCAAAAGTCTTTATTCCCTTACTTTTGGAGGATCCGAAAAAAAAAGAAAACAACGAAGCTCAAAAACAAAACAAAAAAGAGCTACGACAAAAGACATAAAATCTTCAGCGATTTCCGTCACGGGCCAAGTACTTGTTCAGATTCGGGTAACGCTTTGCGTCGGGCTCCGTGTCCACTCGGCGATTCAGCTCGCGGCGCAGATGCGACCCAAACGCAGCTGTCAAACCCATGTCACCCTGTGCATCGTCCGCCAGTCGATCGGCGGAAATGGGATCCATGCCTGAATTCACCATGGCTCCCCGCAACGCTCCTGCTCGTCAAACCGGGACAATAAATCGTACTAATCAAAATCCGGACTTCCATAATCCTTAAGCTTTGAGTACGTTCTCGTTGAAAACCAGAATAGGATCTTTTCATAACGTTCACTATAAATTCACCGAAAAGGTGTTCACTCAGCTCTACTATGGACAAGGGCACTACTCATGTTACGAAGGATAGTTGAGGATTTAAGCTGAATTCGCATTTCTCCGCATCGGAGTGCTTCTCATTCATCAAAAATAAATCATTCCTTAACCTTTATTGAAATTTTGGTTCACCAAAATATGAAAAAAGCTATAAATGATATAAAAAATACATAAACGGCACCATAATTCCGACTAAAACTGAAGTTCACCTAATGCATGCAGTCAACCCTTGAGTCCAAGAAAGTTATTACATTTTCAGATACAATATTTTAATACTGTACCACTTTCTAGGCAAGGCAGTTTTTGCCTACCATTTACTATTAAAACACAATATGAAAAACGTACCTCCAACGATAAACCTGTTTTCGAACAGTCTAAGCTCAAAATTATTCACAGAAACAGTGTCGTTCGTGTCATTGAAGCTTATGATTACTACATATTTATTCTGTTCTGGCGCATTCAATTTAACGACTGCCCACAATATTACTTCCTTAAATTAGTATATTGAGTTACAATAATTATCATTATCTCCTCCTTCCGTTACGATCAGTCCCAGTAACAATAGTAGGCATCATCGAAGTGAACAGACGAACCTTGAAGTAAAGCTCCCGGCTCGCAGGGTGCTTTTTGTTTCTCTGTCATGCGACGGCGTTTGGATCCCATACCGGATAAATAGGCGTCACTGAACGGGCGACGTTGTGGCGGATGAGTTGCTTGAAGCCTGATATCGTCTCTTACGACTTCAATCCATTGCTGTAACCAAAAACAAAATTGAAAACTCCGCGAAGCATTTTACAAAAATATCATTCGGGTTTCGAGGAGGAACGAAAAACAAACCCTTGGCAAAACCTCTTCCCATGCATCGACGGCATTCGGAGCTGCGTTTGAGGCGGTTCTTCGATCCGGTGCGGGAACACTGCTGGCGTTCTGAGGTCCACCAACAGATCTTCTCAACTACGAAATAAAATTAGATTCAGGTCACCAACCAATTGGGCCGAACAAAAACTGCTTGAACGTATACGACAATATCGGAAAAGGTGATTCGTAAACTGTATGGTGCGGAACATCAAGTATCAACCGAATGAATACACCGATTTCTGAACGGCAATACTTCCGAAATGGTTCAGGTGAAACAACGAAAAGGGAGAGCAGTTCTTCCAATTCATTTTCCACGGTACAATATAAATGAAAGGTTTTAGTCACATTCGTAAGACCAACGCACAGTGGGAATGATATACGAGGGTTCTAACTAAAGTTCTCGGAATGAAAATGAAGATGGCGTCTAATCGAGCTGGAAAAAAATTATTCTTTAGGGCAACCATATTCTTTGGCACAAAAAAAATCAGCCCAGTTTGACAATTTTTTTCAATTTTTTTCAAAATTTACCCTGGCAGAGTTTTGTAATACACTCAACAGATGAGGCACCCTTAAATTCTGAGGGGGCAACCATATTCTTGGCACAAAAAAAATCAGCCCAGTTTGACAATTTTTTAAATTTTTTGCAAAATTTACCCTGGCTGTTGGGTGTATAGCAAATACTCATCTGTTGGGTGTATAGAGGAGTTCGCACGAAGGTTGTCTTAGTAACGCACGTCTTGACGCACGCACGAGAACGACTAGTTCGAAGTATGCTAGGACAACACTTCATCTCCACGACGAAAAAGTGACAGTGTACATCACGGCTATCCAAAATGTCTTTGAACTTTCTCACGCCAATTTGACAGGATGGGGAGAGAAATATTCTGTTCTCTGATAAATTTAGCTTTTCGCTCAAGTTTCGCACTCGTCTTCGGGGACAAATTAAATCCGCTTCTTCATCTCCTTCTCTCGATAAAAAAAGCCGTGCGAAAAAAATTCATACAGCGAAGGAAATGAAAAAAACTTGATTTCTTTATATTTTACAGCGAAGTACTGGGTCAGATAATTAGAATCGTGGGGCCACAGAAATCTGTTTTCATTCGTCCATCTTGTGCACCGGTGTAACGCTGTTCTCAGGAGACAGGTACACAGGAGAGTTACAGGATGAACTGTCCGTGCGTTTAAACCGAGAATAAATTTATATTCCCCAGAATGCAAAAAGCCTCAAGATACAGGAAAAAATTGAGGCAGCCTCATCAGGGGATTTCGTTTCAATATTGAATCATAAGCCAAAATTTACGAGATCACGATTAGTTCGTTTCGAGCGCCGGACGCAAGTAGACGATGAAGCGAATGTGAACATAGAATTATCCTCACGTTTTCATCCGGATCTTCCATATTAACGTCAAGATCAACAGAAACACCGTTGGTTTCTACATTCGGTACACGAGCGACAATATACTTCCGCCGGAACTCCGCTTCCCATCCGGGCGGTACTGCGGCAATCCTCGCACGGAACCACGGTAGACTTTCTCTCATAATGACACCAATGAAATGCGACCCAAGCAATGCTGGACTGGGCACATCTCCCAAAAAATGTTGACAGAAGTTATCCTGCAAGAAACAAGCAAATTACACTCTAACATAGTACTTGCTTAAGCGCACTTCTATGCTACGGAAAACGGTATATTCTCATCGTTTCCGAGCGAACATCTTTCAAATTTCAAAATTAGGGGAAGAATTTCCAAGTTTAAATACCAAGAAAGCCTACCCATTGTGTCCTCATCAGCCATTCCAACCCCTCCACACCATTAGAGAAGCACAGGGAACACAGCATCATCAATTCGCACACGGCATCAGGAACTCTGACTTTCAACCAATTGAAGAACTGCGCGTCATCCCCGGGCTCGTAAAGCTTCGTGATAACTTCGCGAATGTTCGTGCGCAGGAAATGCCTCAAGGATTCGACTACGTTGATGTGGAATACTGATCCTTCCAAGTCCTGCAAAAACGTTCATTGAGATGTTGAAGAAATACAAAAAGCATCACAACCAAGCCTCATTTAAATTCTGGGATTGGTCCTTGCAATTTCTTCTGGATTCGCGAAGTTTATGGGCCAAAAAAAAAACAGGATTAAAATCTGAAGAAGCACCCTCTCACCAGTCAGTTTTTCAGAAACAGAAGATGGCATTTCTCTTACACTTGGGATAGCTTTAGACTCAATTCAGTAACACGGGATGAAAGCTTTCAAAATGATATGTACTAACGTTGGCACCCGCAATGTGGAAGCGAGATACAACGAAATCTTCCACCCCGTTCGAGATGTTCAACGGGGTCGGGGGATTGCCGTGCAGAACATAATGACCAACTGCGTCTCGAAGTCGCTGACGAAGCTGCGGTGATATTGCCGACATGTCTTCGCCACTCCAAATCGCAAGAACATCGGAAATAGCCAGATCTTGCGACTAAAACGAAGCGGAAAAATACACTCATACTTCATACTCGTGGCATCATGGCATATTAAGACCCACCAGTCGCATAGAATCGAAGATAGGACTGTTATAAAGCCAATCAAGAGTTGCGTTGCTGGGATTTGCCTCCGACCCCATGATTTGGTCCTGGATCATCCTCAACCAATTCGCAACCTGCACGAAAACAAGTACTGTATAATGCAATACTGCAGTATGGCAACTTTCATGAATGAGAAAAAGAATCCTTACGGGTGGTATAGTAGTCGTCACGCCGCTTGGAGGCGCTGAAAATAATAGCGGTAAAGAATCGTATTAATCACAAACGACAGGTTTTGGCGACGTCATCGAGACCTACCGCGAGGGGCTGCCCTGGCACTTCCCAATCCGACATCCGCCGTAGAAGAGCTCGCGACGTCGCTTGCTGTAGTTTGGGCACCGCGAGAGGTACCGGAAGTTCGCGGTGCCGCACGATCCGGTGCTCGACCGCCGAGATACGTCATGTATTCGGGTGTTCCGGCATGAAGGAACATTGTCGGCATTCCGGACATGGCTGCTCCCAATCGAGACCGACGCGCTCCAGCTAGCGTGTGCCTCGAGTCGCAAACCAAGAAGGGATCGAACTCATCTGAAAACGGATGAGATTTCAATATCAAGTTCCTTCATCATCTGTGAGATAAGTTCGTGTTGCGAAGTATTTACCCTCGTCAGAGAGGAAAAAACAGTTTTCTAACGACACGCGGTTTTCCTCATAAGGTTGTGTAACAACCACCTAAACTAATCTACGAATTGATCGTAAAATTAGTTTCTTAGCCGGACCCGTAAGTCTTCGGAAAAAGATAGCAGTGGGGAGAGAAACCCAAAAAAAAATTTCTTTCCTGCACTAAAAGCAGGATTATCGCGATGACGAAAGAGTTTAAATCTTTAAAGGCACAGAAAAACGCAACTATTCTTCAAATTGATTTCGATTCAAAAATGACGTTGTCGGGGCGACTATCTCGTCAACATTTACGATACGTAAAATTCTGCGACAGTTCTTGATGTAATCGTCACAATTGCACTTTTTAAATCCAGAATTTATCCAGGAAATTACACTTTTCGGGAACAACCGAATTTCTGTCAATTTGACGAGAAGGAATGACTAACTGTAAAATGAACCGTCGATACTTCGGACTTCCATGAAAATTGACGAATCACGCGTAATCAACCATTGATGATCGAACATAACGAAGTGAAGCATCACACTCACGCATGAGGTTACGAGGACCCATGTGCCCAGACTGAAGAGGTACAGCTAATCGGCTGTGTCTGCCTGATCCGTTCTGTCGCTGACCGCCGCTTCCACCTTGCGTCGGTCTTTCTGAGCCAGTGGTCGTCTGAGCGGCCGAATCCGCCGAGCGTCTGTTTATTGATCGCATGGCGCTCAGCATAGACTGCATGAAAGGTCTCCGCATTTCATCTGTTCCCACTTCCAAAAGATGAAATGGTCAGCGAAACACAAGGACATCGTCCGCTTGTCAAAGAATTAAGGAGCTGTTCTGCCCAATTTTCCACTCTTAGCATTAGTGAATACCACATGAATCCCTGGATTCGCTTCTCTAATTGATTTAAAACAGGGCTGCCAAACACACGAAAATACCCTTCCTGACAGCTAAAAGGATTTTAGTACAGTAGTTGAAACAATACCATTCACAGTTCCAAGCCGCAAAATGTCAAAGATGCCAAATACGGAGGAAGAATACAATATGGCAGTAAAACATCCTAAATTGAACGCTGCTACCTTGAAAACAAACAAAATTAAAAAATACGTCAGTGATTTTATAATGTTTGGACGTAGAATTACACGGATTATCATTATTTGAAATCGTATGACTATGGCCAACAGATAAAAGAAGAAATCTAAAACTATTCCACATCCTTTCTTGAATTTCCTTCTCGCTTCTGGAAGCATATGCTAATGTGGCTTGAAAAAATGTGAACTGGAATCATCAGAATGTAAATATGGAAAATAATTTCATCCAATGACGAAGTGAAGTATTTCGGGCACACCCTGTGAGGCAAAAAATTGAAAAGAACAAGGAATCTAAAAAATTTTCCCATTCACAAATTTTCATTATCTCAGACAAGACCTAAATATGTGACTAACAATTACTCAAAGTAACTGTATCCTGGAGACAGGTACACGGTATAGCTATCTAAAAAAGCAATCCGTGCGTTTTAACAGAATTTCATTAATTTACCCCAAACTCAGAACTTGCCAAAATTAATAATAGATTTTGGCAGCCTCAGAAAGGGGAACTTTTTTCCTGTAGAGACAAGGATGAGCTCGAAACAACAATGTTGTAAACGTCTTACTTGGCAATGATCCTGCAAAACCTCCAATACCGCTAGCAGCCGCCGCTTCTCCTGTAAGAGTGCATTTTAAAATTGAACGACCGTGGACTTTTCACATCAAAATAACATAAATGTATCCCAGAGACAGGTACACGAACAATGCTATATGACAGCGCATTACGTGCGTTTTAACAGGATTTGTTTTGTTTCTCCCTGGTTCAAAACAAGGAATGAATGATACAGTGTAACTAATAACACTCCAACCTCAACCAGGGATTGCATTATGAATAGGAGAACTCCAGGGTCGCATTACAACGCAGCTTCACACTGGAGAATACGTAAGCAGAATTAAAAAAAAAAAAAAAAATCGCAGAGGTTTTATGCCGATGGCTTTTGCGAAATAAATATGACAACTTTCATTAGAAAATATGGACTGAATTATTTACCAAGATGTGCATTGCCGTCGGACGTTGGCCCCGGTGGAGCGCTTGCCGCTGCTAGAAAAAAGAAAAGGTAATCTCATCAATTTGCACCTCAGCAAAAAATTTGTTCAACGAAAAATGAACAACTAAGATTACAAAATTGCATAGGGCTTTCGTAAGAAAATGCGTCATTTACACAGCCATTCCAGAGGGAATACTGTATAAAGCAAAAATGCTTGTACGAACGGGATATCTTTGAGGTATCATAGTTGGGGTAAATAAGAAGCACAGTAATTCATCCGACAGTTTTTCTCTCTTTCAAATAACGTGATGAGCTACCTGCAGTGGACCCGGGTTCATTTCCAGCGGTACCTGCGGGAAAAATGAGATTATTTCAGTATCACTCGAGTATGAACAGAACTATGCATGACAGTGATTAATGGAAAACACCAAAAAACTTGTATCCTGGAGACAGGTACACGGTATAGCCATCGAGAAAGGCGATCCATGCGTTTTAACAGAATTTTACTTTATATACCCCAAACTTACAACTTGCCAAAACCAGCCGGAGAGATGTTGGCAGCCTCAGAAAGGGGAAAATTATTCATTAAGTAAAAAATATATTTTTCAAAACTAACAAAGGAAGATATTCTTCGTAAAATATTCGTCCATCATATACAGTATGACGAAACGTGAGCACGGCATGTGGGGTAGTAAGTTGCGGTACTTACTCGCAGGTCTTCCTGCGTCCAGGTGCACGGCGGCTCCCTGAGCCATGACTTGCGCAAATCGCTGTGCGAATCGCGCGAAGAGGCTCCCGAGCTCACCAGGGTTCATGCTTTCCAAATCTCCGATCACAATACCACCAGCTGGTGGCGTCTGAGAACCACTGCTGTTCGTCGGAGACGGTCCCGTCGGCGCAGTTCTCAGTCCACCACCGGGAACGAAGCCTAGAAAATGCATCAATACTTTCTTCATTTCATACTGCGAAGACCAGCGTATTTTTTTCTCGATGAAACGTGGCATCACCCAGAAGAGCAAGATAGCAGAATTTTTACGTAGTATTTTCGATAACTACTGTACTGCAGGAGAACTTAGCAGCATTTTTTTTTTTCGAAGAGAGAAACAAACCCTAGTGGATGCAGTATTTTAAAATGAATTCAACGAGCAACGTAAAAGAAAATTAAGAATCGCGACGGGGAGCTCGGATGACGCGAACATTCCGGCAAGGATTTACAGCGTGAAGAGTTACGAATGATTCTGCATCAGTTACACAGACCATGGCGTTACTCTCTGAATACACGACGTAAATTATTTATATTCAATCGCATATATACATATTACTGCACTCTTTTCCCGAAAATGGGCGTGAAAAATCGGGTGCGTTCCGAAATCCAGATATTTGTGCAGAGGCCGCACCCCGATTTTCGTCAGTGCGATCTATACGTAGCATTCCTTCCATTCACGCTCAAGAAGACAAAAAAAAAATATGCCGTAAAGCACTTAATCAACAAAAAAAAACCAACTTAGAGACAAGACCAAAATATGTACAAATTGCTCAAAATAATTGTATTCTGGAGACAGGTACACGGTATAGCCATTTGAAAAGGCAACCCATGCGTTTTGACAGAATTTATCTTCAATCTACCCCAACTTGAAACTTGCCTGAACTTACTTCAAGAAATTTCAGCATGTTTCAGAAAGGGGAAAATTTTTAATTGAAGCCAAAGACGTAAATAAAAAAAGGGAAGATTGATTCGAAAACTCGCCTTCATATTCAAGCACAGAATTCCAAATATTTTCCCTTCGATACTGTAAACTCAATTTACAAAATTTTTCAGAATCGTTTTCTGTCAAGTGTCGTCCCTGAACATATCGAGATTGCCTGATTTTTCTGGTCCTCTTTCATTCTATCATGTAGATTGTAGAGCAAAACTACACTAAATCTGTGTTTTCAATATTTGCCTGATTTTTCTGATCCTCTCTCATTTTATCATGAAGATCGTAGTGTAAAGCTGCACTAGATTTGTTTTTAGAACGTTTTCCACTCAAGGAAATGAGAAAGGAGTAATACAGTGCCAAGTGGGGTGAAACATGGAAGCTTTTCAAAGATGAGATTACATTTGTAACTCTTCACCTAGAAGCGCGGTGTGAGCCATTTTCATCGCATCAGTGCACTTCTCCAACATTTTTCCCTGAATCTCATTTCCGCAAAAATACTGTGATACGCAAATCCTCCATTTTTTTTATTTGGCAGAATACGATTTTTTTTTAGAAATCATTCAAGTTGAAACATTTTGAGACAATTCATGCGATGAAGGATAAGACAGCGCACGTTTTGGAAGAGCTGAGGAAATGCGTTTTAGGTCTTCCAACGGTTGAAAAACGACTACACAATTTGGTGAGATAAATGAGATAAAGAACTGTACTGTACTTCGTAGACGATGGATTGTAGACGATTCGCGTCACCCTCAGAACTAGTCTTAGAATATTTTATGATCAAAAGATTATTGAACAATAGAATTTTCGTTCAATAAAATGAGAACCAAACTTCCATCATTCAGACGAGAGCAGTAACTTTTTCTTACATCCATTCTCCAAGATTTTAATCCTGCTTTGACTTGAAAAGTTGGATTTGACAAGAAAAAACGAAAGTTCGTATTTACCGGTCGTGAAGGCAAAATAATCCGAATGTGACGATAAAGAGTATATAGGAATTGATAGTTAGAAGTTAAGAAAATACGGAATTGCGAATCGACTTAGAGATAATGACAAGAATAACTCGCCTGCATTTTCCGTGGATGGCGAAATCCCGTCATCTGTAACGTTGAAAAAAAAAAAAAAGAATTGTTCGTTAATTTCTCAAGTCGTCAATAAAAATGTCCCTTACGCATGCCGGTTATATTCACGGTGGCTCCCATAACAGCAGAAGCAACTTGTCCGAAGAGCGCTCCCAGATCTGCGTGCATGTTTACCGGAGAACTTCCAGCGGCTCCTTCAGCTACTCCTGGTGCAGCACCAGCACTTCTGGGTCTTACCGATGCGGTGGGCACAGCACCAGCTCGAGCGGGGCCCGAGGGCGCATTCGTCGACGTTGGCCCGTGTGCAACTGACGGCTGTGGAAACACAAATTCTCGCGCTTCATAAAATATATGAACAGTTCATTTTCTCCAGGAATGTAGATACCCTGGGCAGGTAAGTCCCCAAGGTAAACGAATAAGCTCGATCAGACATAATAGGGGATTCCAAATTCGCGTAGACAATACAAACGTAGGAATCACGATCAAGATTTTAAAATGTGATTGCTTCGGGCAAGATGCAATATGAAATTATGAAAAGAGATTATCGATTATCAATTTCTTAAACCTGATAAAAACTAGCATTAGCCGCATGCCTCTTGTTCGTCTAACTCAGCAGGAGCATTCACACACAAGTTGGGTACGATTGAGAGATTCGGTTTTTTTCTTCATTGAAGAGCAGAATCAAACAAGAGCAAACGCAAGCGATCTCGCACAGATTCGCATCCAAAAAAGCAGCTAATTCTCTGGATCCCCAACATGATTCGCGGGAAATCCTGCGAAGCCAGGCAAATTTTCTCGTACATCCTCACGGCACAAGAACTCTGCACTGCAGTGTATTTATGAGCGAGAAGTGATTCGATAACGAAGGAAACGTCAAAAGCAGTCCCAGGAATGATAAAAACGTACACCGGAACTAGCAGACTCACCGTTATGTGCATGGAAACAACAGCAGGTCCTTCCATAATGGTCGCAGTGCCTCTCATGGGAATCGTAAGTGCGGTAGCCGCAGGTGGTCTCGCTATCCAGCGTGGTATTGCAGTCAAGTATGCCGTAGAGCGGTCGGACGATTTGATGTCGGAAATGTTGTGCAAAGCGTGGCTGAAGAAATGCAGTGCTCTGGAAAGCTTTTGGTATCTGGCGTGCGGCTCGCTTAGTCGCCGTGTTCCCGACTGGACAAAGAACAATTCATCGAGTAAAGTCAGGTGCTCATGCACAAGTTCTTCCCAAGATAACCCAAGCCAAGAAACAAAATAATGGAAGTAGAAAATTTAGGGTATGTGCGATACTGCTCCATCAAATTGGAAAAAGAAATTCGTTGACGTGAACTCATTCATTCACGAATATACAAGACAAGAACTTAAATCCTCAAAATCTTCAGTATTCATAAACGTTCCGGGACTCGCTGAATTGAACGAAAATTTGCGGCTCTTCTAGTTGTGCGACCAAAATTATATATTTTTCAAATCGAGTCGAAATCATCGAAACGTAATAAGCAGTCACACGCTAATTCTGAAATTGTGTTCTGGAGACAGGTACACGGTAAAGCTATCAGCAGAGCTTTCCATGCGTTTTAACAGAATACATTTATTTCCCCTTCGCCAAAAACTTGTCACAGAACACGGAAAAGAAACTGTAACAGCCTCAGCAAAGGGAAGTCAAGCTCGAGAGACCATTTTCATACACGAAATCAACTCACGGAATCATCTTCTCGATTTGTCGCGGCCCAACGCCCAGACCTGATGTCGTCAACGACTTGATGCATAAGAGGCGCAATTTCCTCGAAGTTTCCAACAACTGTCTCCAGAAGATCAGCAAGTTCCGAAGGAGGAAGCGTGCCTGTGACTCGCCTTCAAAATGCGAACAAAATAACTTTAGTCTGCGGTTGAGAATTGTAATAAATCCACAAATAAAATGAACCTTGAACCGATGGAAGGCCTGTCTGCCGAGTCCCCTGTGTCAGCCTGCGCTCCTTCGCCAGTTGGAGGGGGTAATAGTGGGGCATCAATATGTGGAACACCTTGCTCTTCGCCAACCAGCATCTCTGAAGGATCATCTCCCAATAAAACTTCAGAAGCCGGGTCTCCATCGGCATCCACGCCTTGAACGGAAAACGAAGCATTTTGAACATCGAACACATCGTACGGAAGTGCTGTTTCTATCCCCTCCACTCGATATCTTGACTGTAGAAATAGCGAGAAACAACTCAACGACACGCAAGTTAGTGAATGATGAAATACATATCTAGAAGTTGAATCTCCCTCAAAAAGCTTTCAATGAACCACCATGGGAATCTATCGAACATGTCATATGCAACACAAAATTACAGTATAACCCATACTGCCGTGGAATAAAATGCAAAATGTGCTCCAAAGGACTTGTGAGCACGCGTTTCGCTCAAAACAATCTTCGCGATCGGTATACAGTACATTATTCTGTGTATCCAATGACGATAATTAAAAATACGCCAAACTATCCTCTGGACAGCGTTTCAAGGTAACGAACGAACCTGCTTCAAGTGAAATAACGGCGACCGCTTGGTCGACCATTGGCCCACTTGTGATGTTGATCTCAATCGGCGGCGACGGATCTCTGTCACTAGACTCATCTAGAGACATGGCTACCGATGCCGATTCAGACGAAGCTGCTTGCTCCTCCCCATTTGCTCCGCCAGTTTCTCTTGATGAAACTCCCGTCACGCAGCGATTCATTCGAGCAAGCATTTCCTGTGCTACGTGTATTCTCAATGCAGCCGACATTCCAGCTGCAATAGGATCAATATCAAGAGAGGAAGGGGAAAAAATCGATCATCCAGCAGACCATTAGAGGTGAACTCTCTCTACAACGATTTTCTCATTCAAGGCATTTTTGTTCGTTAGTCCCATGGGCCTAGAGTTCTCTTCCCACTTTATTGGAGCTCTCGAATTTTTCAAGTCCGGCCGCGGACGAATGAGTGATAAATGCGAGCCGCCGTCTGCTGTTCTTCAAAAGTCAATCCAATTTCCTAATAATGTACAGGTGGACTCCCGCGGCCAAACTTAATACACTGATCGACGGTAGGTCCAATCGCTGTCAGTATCACTTGTTTCTTTCTAGGTGTTTCACGAGATGAAAATCGACGCGATTCCACACCATGATGCTTGTCAATTTTTTCAAAGCTTTCTTTGAGTACTGTACTTACTTCCATTCATCTCAATTGCGCACCAAATTAATTATGTTCCAAATACTGTACAGTACTAACAAATCTTCGTGTATATTCATAGTAAGCAACTCCTCCCAACTTACGGGATGAAAAGCCCACGGATGAAGGCAGCGGAAACGCATTGTGCCTTCTGTAAGTCCGACGTGGATTCTCCGGCTGCGACGGGGACGCCTGAGGGGTGGGTGCTGACGAAGGTTGCCGGCCAACTTCTTCTGGAGGAGGCCGCTGGACCAGGTGTATCACCTTCCCACTGACATCTGAAAAGTCGGAACTTCCATCAAACGTTCCTCAAAATTCAGCTATTATTATTTAAACATGTACCGTAATCTCCCAGGCTTTTCTCGTCATCGAGTACGCGGCCACAGAAGATCAAACGCTGCCTTGATGGCTCGACGCCAACCGAACTGGAAATTCTTCTTTTGAAGTCTATCACACTCAGCTGTCAAGAATAGAAAAGAATCAATGACCTTTCGCGAAAATGAACTCAAAAGGGAGAACATTCCTAGATCTCATCGTTCAATTTCTCGAGCAAGCATCACGGAAGCAAGCCAAAAACAGGAATATTGATTCTCCTAGGCTAACTTGTTCAACTTCAAAAATTGAGCTGATTTGAAATCCAGTAATACCGCTAAAATGCACGTACCGTATCTGGGACGCTGAACTTGTAATTCTCCGAATCCAAAGTTTTCACAGTAACGTCAATCATCGCGAGGCTGTATTGATGACACTACGTATGAAAGCAATTTTGCTTCCAAGGATGAGGGACGCGTGAAATCCCGATTAAACCCGGATGCTGTTACAATACTTCGAAGAAATAATATACTTCAAATTTCCTGCAATGCGAAATAATAAAACTGCAATTGTCACGACTGGAACATCATCAACGAAAGCGCTGACAAATGAATTCAAACCGTCGCGCACGTGTATTTGTTCATTCCCTCACCAAGAAGTTACTCACGTGAAACGTTCAACAAGTATTCAAACAAAATTACAATCAAATATTCAAGATTTCCCCTTTCGAAATCTGGACTAAAGCATTTCCTCACCTGGTAATACACACAACTGATTGAGGAAGTCCTAACACACAAGTGAACCCTCCTTTTTGAACTCCATCACGAAAGATTGAAAAGATACTCGTGGACAGGACGAAATTTCTAGAGAACATCCAAAAAAGCATCGATCTGTCTAGCTCGTCAATCACACAACTTTGATGGTCAACAAACGTCATTGAAAAGCTGGCCAGAACCTGAACTTCATGAATTTGTGCAATACATTACGTTGTGACGGTCAATCTCGACTGAAGGGAAAATAAGAGCGAAGTGCAACTCGAATCAGGATAAACCTTTCGAGTAGCACGAAACTCCAGCATTCTAAGGTATGTGTCACCAATGGAATAAACAACCGACCACATGAGTTGAAGATCCGCTTATCATCTTCACTTTTGACTTAGTTGAAATGGTAATCAAGTCTTCCACTAAAAGTCACTACAACTGGTTAAACAGTGGTTTCTGAAGGAAGCGATCTTGACCTCGCATCACTGCTCAGCGTGATTGGTTGTGATCGATGAACCGAGATCAGTCCACAGCTCCCATCATCTGAATCTAATGCAGCCTGGTCTAAATCACTCCCGTTCGTGAAAAGCCAGTTGTCTTTGCGTCCGTCTGCGATAAGGAGAACAGCCGAGATAAATGGAAATGATAACTTCGAAAAAAAATGAAGCATCAACCTTCTACTCTCACACAACATAATCGCTACCCCGACTTGCATTGACCGTCGAAATTGCTCGTTCACTTCGCATCATCTACCCCACACGTAAAAAACCTAGTCACTCTCAGGAAAAGCCTACTTCGCTGAATAAGCTCAAGAATACAAACCACCATCTTCACACTCGAGGTCGACGAAGACAGAATCGCCATCACGACAGGTTTCCGAGTAATCTTCATTCGACTGACTGTCGGGTTCTTCACGATCATTGTATTCTCGGAAATCGGTGTGATCATCTCTACGGTTAGACGAAGAGTTGGCTGCCCTAATGCATACACAGGATTCGCAGTGAAACTTCAGATCGTTCCGCCTTTTTTGCCACTTCTCTTCGCGTTCTTTGGCATTTTCTTCCATAACTTTGCCTAATACTGCTGCCGACACATATTCGGAATTACTATCCCGAGAAGATGAACCTGAAAGAACATTAATATTAAAAAATGACAAGTTCGAGAATTCGCAATCTAATCCTCACGAGACAAGCTTTTCCCAGGTTCAGAAACTGTGAAGACCATAGCAGTCGGTGGGTACGTGGGAATCGGCACTTTGATCACTTTGCTGCCCGTCTGAGAATTCTTTGAATTTCGATGTAAGTTGGAAGTGCGTCTCTCGATCATTTTATTCACCTTCTCCTGGAACTGACTGGGGAGCTTTAAAAAGATCAACATAGTTGTCAGAATCTCACCCATGGAGAGATTCACAAGACGTACCGTTTCAATTCGTTGCGCCAAGAAATTGGAAGAACGACACTGCAGGAGATGTACAGCAAGGCTGCAGTCCGCTTTATATCTTTCCAGCTCTTCTTTCGTATTCTTCAGTGATACATGAGCTTGAGCTAGTTTCTGAGTGGTTTGGGACAGCGCGGTAACCAAAGCGTTCTTTTCGGATTCGCAAGCATCCACGACTTTGAGTAACTTATCTTCAAGGTTTTGGTTCACTTTAGCGAGCCGACGGTGAGCCTCAAGAAGGCGATTATAACGATCATCAGCAGCTTGAAGTTGAAAGGTGAGATGAGCTCTCTCTCCTTGCGGCCATTTTACGGCTTCACTCAAAATGTTTGCTTCCATCTCCTGCAACTCTTTCTCTTTCTCTCTCAGTCGAGCTGCTAAGGCTTCCATTTCCTCTATCAGCAGAATATCCGGCATTGAAAAATATACTGGTTCTAATGGAACACCGCCTGAATCAGAAGCGTTAACACCGCCCCGATCATGATCCGTCTTCATGAGCAAGTTCGTCCGCGGCAGTATCACCAACAATTCCAGTCATCCGTATCATAACAGCTTCTCTCCATAAATCCACATCACACACGAAGTTAATGGATATAAACCTGAATAATAAAAACAAGCATTCACAATGAAAAAGGATCATTCCGAAATGAATTTTCAGCAATAAAAAACGATTACAACAATACAAGAAATTCTCTAAAATATCATCATTACAACATTTGCAGCTATTTCCACTTCAAGAGTGCAAACGGTTCTCGTCCAACGTCACGACAATTTTCCTGGGAATTACCCGAAGCCCTTCCAACCACGAACGCACCTCCAGGCTTACAAGCAATCCCCCATTCCAACGCAGCAGTGAGTTGGATGATGAAAGATTGTCGAACCATTTCTCGACATATAGTATACAAAAGTGGGAGGAGTGAACAACACATGAAGGAAATATTTCGATCACAGAACTGAACTATGCAAGTACATTACTGTATCATCGTACTGTACTATGAAGAGATTCAAAGGAAATACATTACGTACTGCATTGTTTTTTATGCACTGTACTCCAATAATCGCTTGATAGGTCTGAATTACCAAAACAGAATTGCTTCTTGGCAAAAAAGTGCAGTCAATTACCCTGGGCATTTATCCCCAAATATATGATGGTACAGTAGTATACACATTACTACAATATAAAAATACATGTACTGAAAATATAATAATAAATATTGGATAAATAAAGTTGGAAGTAAAATTGGATCATTCAAGTTTTCTGACACATTCTTGCTGGAATGCAGGCTAGGCAGTGCTGCTGTTTGAATGGCTTATTTTAAATCAGTTGCAGGTACAGCAGTAGTTTCTTCCTTTTGGGGATCCTTTCATGCAACTGCTGAGCCTTTTATATACACAGGGTGGGCCAGAAAAAAGCGGGGGTGAGGTGGAATGAAGAAGCGCAAAAAATAATGTAGCAGTGCTGGGATATCTTGCTCCACTCCCAAATCCCAATGGAAATTTGCTGCTGGGTGCCAGCCTTATTCCTCTTGGCTCCTGCGACCCCCTGCATGCAAATTTCTTTGGTTTAACTGGATCGATCAAAAATCAGTTTCACTCATTAATAATTCCGATCACCAGCAGCCATCAAGCACTGTACTCCAGTCTTCATTGGTCATTTTTTGAAGATTTCCAATTTCCTGCTCATTATACAAGCAGAACTCGGAAGTCATCATCAAAAAACACAAGGTCATGAAAATAAGAATTTAATTCAGTGCTACAGATGAAAATGCACCATGTTGAGCACATTCTTGTTTACCAGAGCTGGTTCTTTCCTCCTTTTATACCTAAAAACAGCTCTGGAGAACAGCAGCTATATATACAGGTGGAAGGAGCAATAAGTTGCCCAACAACTTTTTTGAGTGAAAGTTTTCATTTGAGTGGTTCTTGTGACCATGCCATGGCCCCATTTAAAACTAATGTACATTTCATTTGAAAGGGAATTGAATAAACAAGCTTTCCTTTGGCATTATTTTTTGTGCCACGGCTCAATTTAATGAGTTACAGTATTTCAAGTCAAAAAGCCGCGGTTCCCTTTTCTCTGGCCCACCCTGTATATGCCTCCACGTCTTAAGGCTGTTTTTGAGTGAAAATACAGTACACAAGTTCCGTCATGCCAGATAATATAGCAGCTTTCAAAAAATGACGTCCTAAAAAATTTCAAGGACGTGAAGCCATTTATTGGCATGAAATAATGTATGGTGAGTATTTTATAAAAGCTTGGAAAATTTTTTGGCCAATCTAGAAAATGGTGCTCTCGGAGCCTTGGACATGGGATCATTTTATGGCTGAGGTCCCTTCGATCGACTGATGCTGCGGTATAATAATAACACACACGTGTACGCGTTGTACTACCTGTGCAAATTCTATCTTACATATGTAAAACATAGTTTTGCTGATCATTTCGCCATAGATCATGGGATTTACTCATTAATTTTCAGAGACCAAAATCAAGTACAGTATAGGTTTCCTAGCATTCAAATAAACAGAGAATGTCCGTTCGTTCTTATAAATTTCGGTTCTTAATTTACGCAGATTTTTAAGGTATGGCGTGCAATTCGAATATTCTTCATACTTTTGCGAATTTCTGCCCGGCAGAGTGGGACAATATTATAAAAAAGATTCTCCCAAGTACAGTATTCTAGTGCAGCGTCAGCGCTTAAATTTTCACAATATATAACGATTGTTGCAAACTATATTACTGCAATTTCATGAAAGTTTCTCTCAGGGGGCTTTGAAGGACATACAGGAGAATAAGAATGCAAACAGATCGAATTTTTGCAGATACATCTCCCCCGTATTAATCAATATTGTGTTGATATGTTTCTTGCAGAGTCAACTTCTCACTTCGAACAGTTACGTTCACCATCATACTTGTAAACCGGCCGTCAGGAAACCAATAATCTTCTCTCTCACATCTTTGGACGGGGAAACGCGTCGCAATCAATAAAATATTAGATACTGTAGTAGCAACGCGGGTTCGGTATGTTCGGTTGCACAAGGGATCATCCCAGATGAGTGTTAAAATACTGTAGGTACCGTTATGTATGTTCCATCTGAAAGCTCTGTATGCTAAATTCGCGATGATTGTCCGCCATTGATTACTCCGTTACACTGCATCAATCTCGCGTTGCGAAGAGGTACATGATCTCCGAACCAATTCCAGTGACTTGTCGAATTAGCTCGTTTCCCGCGAATGCACGGCCGTTCTTGACTAATTTCGACAAGTCAAGATAGGAAGTTTCGTCAAAAGTATAGTCTACAACTCTACATCAATTGTCATTGTCAGAAATAAGTGAGTTCCATGAACTTCCATCGATCACATCATGTGCATCTGAGAATTCCATGGTTGATCAATTCTACGGCATTTGCTTAAAAACCAGGAGCTCTCGTCCAAGACACGCACCGAGATTTCCCAGCCAAAATTTTGGCAAAAACAGATCCCCCAGGGAAGACGCACAAGAAACTTCGTTTTGTTTTTAATTAATCCTTGTTTCTAAGATTGAAAAAATTCCAGTGAGCTCACGAAAAGGAAGATGGACAAAAATAGTCCAAGTACGGAAATACATAGTATAGATGAATTCAACTTCGATGCAAATTTATCTTTCTTCAAATATGAAATGTCATTCCTAATGCAAGGCCGTGCATCATGAAGAATTTCCTGCTACTGTAGTGGTGTAGCTCAATACTTACAAGGGTTGTCCCACATGAACGTAGCCTTGGGTATTTCCAGAGTGGGTACGCCCATAAATAAAATTTTAGAATTTAGCCCATGAAGTTTTAGGGTTTTGGGGCATACCCACTCCAAAAATACCCAAGGCTACATTCATGTGGGACAAGCCTCGGATTCATTTTTTTTTCAAGCATGCAGCGTACCAATCTTACGGGAAATTTTGCAAAAATAATGCACCCACACAAGACGCGCACCACGCTTTTCTCTTGCAGTGTTCGGTGGAATACGTACTTCGGCAAATGTTGTGTCAGTACAGAACGAAACCCACCTAATTTTTCGTAAATTTTAAAAACTTGAACTCAGATTCGAAAGACACGAACAACACGACAAACATCAAGTTATGAACTTGAAAAGTAGCATTTGCTTTCAATTCATCACAAATTTGCACTGGGAAAGAACATCATTTCCTGGAACAGCACGCAAACGTATCTGACACAGGAAGTTCCTTCAACGGCTCAGCCGAAAACTGAATAATTTTTCTCATTACGTTCCAAGCTTCTGATTTTCTCTCGTCTGGAATTTGAACTAATGGAACACAAATATCCAGAAACTAACCCCTCATTCGCTGCATCCAGCACCGAATGAGCTTCATCAACCCTACCCCACACGGAGTCGCAAACTTTGCAGAAGCATCATTTGCTAGAAAACTGAAAATTAATACTGTACTTCAGGTAATACTGTACAGTATTAATCATTGTGAACGGCTTCAGGACATCGTCAAACTCCCGGGATGTTCGATGGGGTAAATCTTGGAATTAAAATTCAGCATATAAGCGTTCCGAATCACGGCTTCAAACAACGCACCAAGTGTACGAAGACCAGTTGTCGGTGCGACACTGAAATGAAGAGATGTCATCTGACGGAGTAATCAATGTAAGGTTTTATTTTAAGTCTCCTCAGGACACCCCTCATCCCCACAAAATAAAATAAATCGTACCTCAATAGCTATCGTCTCAGCATATTTACGCCTGCGCTCACAAATGAAAGGCCCCAGCTTTTTAAAGTCACGCTTCTGGAATATAATTTTCGAATCCTTCAGATAACCACCCCATCAATCACAGCACAAAAGGCATTTACCGACGGTAAATAATCCCAAAAGAACCAACAAAAATGGGGCTCCGCAAATAAAAGCGCCAAGAACACTTGGCCTTCGAAAAACAAAATTGATTCGAAAAAAATTACACCGCATCCGGAAACAAGCGATATTCGAAAATTCAAATCCGGCGTGAGAAACTGAACGCGTTCACCAACTTCCCTGTAAGAGTTTGCCAAATCTCACCGAAAGTGATCCTAGGCGCACAAATTTCAGGCACGTGAATTCAACGCAGCTCATAAAAAAGAAGCCTACTCATTTCAAAGGAGGGAAAACATCGCAAGAGGGTCGCACATCTCGCACACTCCGAAACTCGCGAATGAAGAATCCAAAACATAAAGGTGAGGCACTAGGAAGCAAAAAAAAAAAAAGAAGAAAGAAATGTTCGCAAGAAACACACGAAACTTTCGCGGAAGGCTACACGAGATCCAACCGAATTCAACAAGAAATCCAAAGCGACGTGGATCGTAATGGCATCGGGACAGCTGCATGTAATCTCCCTCCTCCACCTCTTTCTTCCTTTTTGGGTTCATCACATTCTTCGTCCGACATTTCTGCAGCCGTGGCTTCACTGACGGTCATATCCTCACGCGAGCTCAGTTCATTCACGAAAGAATCGAACTCTTTCTTGTCGAATTCTAAACTTTTCAACTGATCCTCGACGCTTTCGATCTGGTCATCGAACGAGGAGAGCAACGGAACTTTCGTTGCTACGCTGAGCGCATCGTAGAAAGCTGGGAGATCCTCGACGTCGGAATCCCTTGAGGCAAACGGCGGACTCTACGATTCAAGACAAAAAAAAAATTCCATCAAGTTGCATTTTTCTAAGGGCCAGCTGTGAACGACTATGCAACGAAAAGCGCGAGTACCGTAAAAAAATCAACACGCATCAAAAAAGTGCTATCAATAGACATCATAAGACAGCTACCACAAAAATTGCAAGAAGTTTCTACTTGTATCAGTGGGGACGCTATTAATTCACAGTAATGAGGTGCACTCGCAACTCGAGAGGTTTCTCTCCATTCTAACTTGAGCAATAGAAAATGGAAACGTTTGTCAGTAATGCGACCTTCCAAGTAGAAATCATGACATCTCCATACCTCAGCGAAACACTTAAAAATAATAACTAAAAAATGGATACTTATGAACTAACCCTCGTTACCTCATGCTAATCTCGTTTGGGGATGACTTAGTTGAAAAAACATATTGCGCGTCGCACCTTGATGATCAACAGTGGATATTTCCATCGAAGGCCGCAATAAGGCGGAGTAGTAGGCAATTTCCAACCGATGAATCAATTCAAAACCACGGGAATCCCACATGAGTAGAATTCAGCACTCGTTCACTCACCGTGCTAACGACAACAAAATCTTCAGGAGGTGGACTTTCTGAGGACGAAGCAACGGAAAGTCTGTCACCGGATGGCCGTGTTCTCCGCAATCCACTGGTTGGAGCCACGGCGATGGGTCCAGAACTTGAAGGATTCGGACGGGACGAATCCGTCTTGGATGAGGAGCCACTACTTCCACTCGATTCGGCAATCCACGGGAAAGACGCCGTCAGATCTGGCACGAGGCACTCTGTCGACGACTCGTCGAAGTCAACGAAAGCACCACAGTTTTTCCGGGACAACAGCGTCTGCCTGCTTCCCGAACAACGAGAGGGAAACAATAGCATCGGGAACAGCGTAACTTTATGAAGGTATTGTTGTACTCACTTCTCGAACCAACCGACAGGATTCTTGTCCGAATTTCTGTGGAAAATATAGAAAATTGGACTGTTAGAAAAAGAAAGCGCGAGTTGGTTACTTCTTGTAAGAGAGAAAATCTTAGCATGTATTCACTCAGTCCGTAAAAACAAGATTCCTCCTCTGTCCTATCAAGAAGTTCTAACGAATACCTAAATCTGATATGGAGGATCCATCGACAAACATCTTCGTGGAACAGCCGAGTCACATGAGATTCTGGCGAGGGAAGCGTGTTCAGAAACCCACGTCATCAGAATAAAACATGTCTGGTTTCGCAATAAATCTTTCCTCTCGCCCAAAAACAATGATTTCCACGAAATCATCTTCCAAATCTTAAAGATTCATTCCGACAGTTTTGTCATTACAGAAACAGAGAATACCCCTCAGTTTTGCTCGTTCCACGAACTAGAAACGAAGAAAACCTCAGGAAAAAACCATTACTGATTCCAAGATTCCTCGGATAGAATTGTACGCTTTCGAAGTTTCGATGTCTCATGGGAGAACATAATCGAAAAAAACGCTCTCCGACAATATTAGATCATGACGAACTCAATATTTTGCAAAATTTTTCGTGCTCATGTATAGCGACTTCTTAGAATTGGAAAAGAACAAACCTTACAATAACAAGCTATCCTGTACAACATCCAATTGAAACGAGATTTTCAAAATTAACCTCGCCAACTGCCAAAAAGTATTGTACAGTACTTGAAAGAACACCTTATTCAACAATAAGAATTGTATGTAATACATGTAGAGCATTCCTGACGTGTACGAAGTTTGTTCCCATTGTTCGAAATTATTACTGCAAACCCACAAAACGAACAATCTTTTCAAGAGATCAGAGCTTGATCTCGTCAAAAATTGGCCTTCCGGCGATTTGTATCGGTTGATACAACTTCACAATGCATTTGCCCCAAGCCAAATTACGTGAAAACGCCGAAGTAGGAAATTGCAGCGCGAACTAAAAATAGAAGTATACACAGGTGGGCCTTTAAATTGGTGGAGAATTGGAATGAACAATTTTTTTAAAATTACAGTACTGTATTTCCTAATCTTCCATAGATCGCTCGATTATTCGCTGAGCGCGTTTTCAATAATTGAATAGCCAACGCTCTTCGGGGATCATAAGAACAGCAATTTTCTCGATCATGTTCACTACAATCAACTACTCGCCCGCTTTATTCCTTTGAATATTGATATCGAGTCCACCTGTACCACATAAAAATTAAAAAGCTTCTGGATTCCTGTTGAATAGCTGAATAGTTAAGATCGCAGGTGCACAGGATCAATCTTCAGATCTGACAAAAAAATCTGACTATGATACTAGTGACGGATAATGAAGTAGCATGAAGAAAAACCGAAGACAATTTTAAAGGAAATGGGTTTTAAAAATACTGGGCTCCACAGGCGAAGTCGACCTTCACGCCGGAATCCCTCGGAAATTCAACCGAACGACCACATTTTTCAACGAATGAGAAGGGCTGATTCATAATTTTTACCCGTTATTTGTTTTCATAGTCGAACGCATGAAGAAAAGTGACGTAATTCTTACTGAGTAGAATTTGATCGTAAAAATTGAAGTCGTTCTGCGGCTGAATGCATGTTATACGAAGTTCGAAATGCTATACACTCAGTCGAATGTTTATTACGTCAACAAGGAGTTGCTCGAGTAAGCGAATGAATTATGCTTCATTATTTCTATAGTACAGTATTGTACAAATATATCTTGCCTTTTTGATGCCCAAGTGGTTTGAAGCATTCAAGTTAAGCTCTCGAAGAACTTCATTTTAAGCTACCGACAAACTTTTGAAAAAACCCCACGACAATCTGCTCGATCGAGCCCGACTCCGCCCAATAGCGACCACCGCGGAAGGGTTTGGTCCAAGATACGTATTGCATTTACAGTACCATAATTAGGCCACTAGGCAGAAAAGGGGCATAATCTACGAAAAAAGTCATGCAACGTAACACTCGAGAGAATAGGAATACTGCACATTATTCCGCCATCACCTCCACCAGACGGTGAAACCAGAAAATTATACGCTTCGTCGTGAGGTTGAAATTGCAACACGTTACGGGAAGTGTGCGCAACTCGTTCCCACAACAAGGTCGGAAAAAATGTCAAGGCAATGGAGAAAAAACTCACCTGGTTTCATCTCCACGTGCAAACGTGGTGCCGGCGAAGGAGGAAGTCGCCCGCTCATCACTTCCGGCCTCAAAATGATCACTTTTTAGCATCACAGGCGCTGAGCGCTCGAGTTTGTGCGGACTCAGTGCTAATCGCGTTCTATAAGTTACACCCATCGCCACTGAGCCCATGGGCGAGCTAATCGGGCCCATCTTGACGCTCTTCACCTCGGGTCCTACAAAAATGGACGAAGGAAAAGCATTGTTCATATGCAATCACAAAGATCCGACAAAAAACGGAATCGATCAGTCCACTTGCACTGATTGATCCCAACAAAATCAATCACGGAAATTCTCAAGTCACAAAAAAAACACACTAAAATTCCGGCAACTCCCCGCACCATCATAGCAATACTGCGTTCAAGTTGCATGTTCACTGCAGTATCTCCGAAACATAAAAAGCAATCGAGTTTTCCTGTGATATTGTATTCAAAGGCATTCGAAGATCCATTTTGTGTGAACATCCGTTAAAGCTCCTACATGGATCACTATCACTGCAATACCCCGAACTTTGCTCCTGCCAAGTCAGACCAATGTCACTTTCATCCCTGTTTAACACAGTTCATGTTCTGATATTAGAACTCACACAGCCTTAAGATAAACCCAACAAGATTCATGCGATAAACGTATAGGCGCTCGTGAATAAAATCAAAGGCACCACGTAAAAGCAGCGCTTTTCAGTATAGGAAACGGAGAACGTAACACGATATGGCTATTTCACTATTCCCGAAGACATACAACGTACTCAACATTCCACTTCTCCGCCATTAGGCTGTATTCTCTCGGTAAAAATCAGATCTGCAATCGGTTCTGTCGTAACACTATTTTTTATCCAGCCACAAATCTTTTCCACTACTTCAGAAGCCCAGCTTGCGGATCGGAAAACATAACGTGCCAATGAGTCAAGCGAAGCGCTTCGCCAAGCTCACCCACACACTATTCTTATTGCCCAACCTCGTTAATTCAACCGCGTGCACCTTTAATTTCCGCCTTTCGACGCCAATCAACGGCAGCTGCCTCAGGTATTTCACAACTCGAACGCGATAACGGTGGCGTCTCGAACCCAACGCCTCCACGCACGGCGCGCCAGACGACACGCGGCATACTGAAGCAGGTGATCAGCCGCCCGGCCGCGTTTCTCATTCCTCCACGGTTGCCGAACACACCATCGGCATTTTCAGCCTGCAATCCATCGTGCACAACAGATACTTTCAAAGGTACCACGTCGCGGAACGGGAGACACGCCGTTTGGTATACCGAAGTACATCACCAAACTCTCCCTAAAACCACATCATACTGGAGCTAAATTTTGAACGTGGCCTTTCCCATATTCATAGTACAGCACAGAACTGTTCAGTTGAAGCTCGCTAACTCGGACTTCCCCAAGTCAAATGCAGTACCGCCGTAACTCGACCGTTTCCCCGCTCATACCTCCATATTCGAATTCTCTGGAGACCTTGCTGCTATTATTTTATTCAAGACAGGAGAAAGAAAAGCAACAAACATTTAACTTTACGTGTTTCTAAAAGAAGAGAAAGACTAATTGGGCAAACGAACCCCCATCTCGAAGTTCAGCATCCTGACAACTCATTCAAGAAGCAATTCAAGGCACACAATACAGTATCACTAATTCAAACTACCTGTAATTCTTCCCTCTTTATTTCACCAGAACACAAATGCTTGCTTCCCTAACTCGAATTTATTTGCTGGTCCTTTCAAATTCGAAAGAGGTTCCGCTGTATAATAGGAGGAATCCATTACGGGAGACATGATTTGAACAATTTAAAGAAAGAAATTTGAGTTCGAACATCAAATAGAAGTCAACGTTTGAGTTCTCAGCCAGACGGAGATGGAAGTTGTAATGTTAGATTGAGCTGGATGACGAGGAAGGTACAGACGGAATTATGCCACACGGTTCACCCAGGAGTTGGTACTGTACATGAACATACACGACTCAGTCTTCGCGGTGGTACACAATTCATGATAAGGTACGGAACCACCTTCACGTCTCGACATGGACGACAGTCTTCACCCATCTTTTGACACACGCAAACAGTCGCAGTGATACAACCGGAACGATCGCATTCACAGTTGATTACGGTACATGTACACCAAAACACTCCAACTATGAACTTGACACAAACACAACAGTCGGGGGGGAGGGGGAGTCGCGTCAGGGGCGTCGGGATCGGGTGTCCTCACTCTCACTTTCCCACAGACAAGATAACGTGAACATAAACAATACTCGGTGTCGGTGGTGCTTATCCCACGACGCGTAAACAGGTTTTTTCATCTTCTTCCTCGTCTTTGAGCGCCGGCGACTTCCCTTATTCTGCGAGATATCCGACATCCATGCCTCACGCCGTACTACGCACTTGCGGCTCTCTTTACTCCCCTCTCAAACCCACCGCGCACCACATGTGTAAGGCCACGCGGGTGAGTCACCTCTCGGCGTAACGCGGAACGTCCCACGGCGACATTCCCTTCTCACACGCCCGTAGTCTGCCTAAATAAAATAAAATTGCACTCTCTCGTGATTTGAGAATACACAGACAGGCACACTACCAGGAAGCTGATACAGTATTTTCCTCCTTCCCCACGACTTGCCAAATGGAACAGCATTTTTCTGTGCTCCCCGAGACCACTCGTTTCCCGCCTAATCTCGGCGGTGGAGCTTGCGGGAATGACACTGAGCTGGGGAGTCTGAGGGATGCCAGAAACCGGCAGGGCCCATGGCGGCGGGCGCGCGGGGTGAGCGACTCGCGCTCTGACCAACCATGCGCGGCGAACCCGTCCAGCAGCAGCATCAGTGGTAAGACCCCCCCCCCTTTTCTCCGTGAACTGCCCTCAAGTACTGCGCTGTACTGCACCCGATCCAAGGTGACTTTCTGTTTGATCGAGGATATTGAGCTTCCTTCCCGCGAGGGGTATTTTCCACTTGGCGAGCCAGACGCCGGCATCAGCCAAAAAGTTCATCTAGCTCGAATGCCGGACATAGGCTACCCTTCCTGGGTGGAAACGGCCAGGGATTTCCCCAACTTACAGATGAACTACTGTAACTATCGGTTTTTGTCCCGTAGGACTACGAAATATAGATCATTGGGAGAAAGACACACACTTTCGCCCATAGATTCGTAAGACGTCCATGATGTCTGGAGGACCAGCACAGTAATGTTTATACAGTAGAAATGAAATTCATGTACTGTAGAGAGGGTCTGCCAGTATTAAAGTAAAAAAGCGTTATTGTTTCCTATTTTCACGTGAAAAATCCACCAACTGAAGACCACTTTGATTCTGAAATAATTAATATAGCATACTGCAACGTATACATCCAATTTGAACAGCAAGGCAAGGTGCAGTTTCTGCACTTCACTACTGCACAGTTTCCATGTATTGTACACTATTGTACATCCAGCATGTACAGAAGTTATTTCCAGCTCTCATAGACACATCATTATTTCAACATTACAAAAGAACAAATTGAACAAAAATTAAAGTTACGAAAGAACCTCATTAGTCATTCAGCAGGGACCTAAAATATTACTTCGTCGTAGGTGAATATTCGTTGTAGCGAGATTCTACTGTAATACAAGGATATCGATATCAAACGTATTAACCATGATACAAAGTACTGTGTAGGTAATGGTGTTGCCATTTCTTTTCCGCCAAGAAGTAATAAGAAAATTATATGTGGACACGAGTATTGTTTCGCACGGTCACCTTTTGTGCGGAACATTCAAAACAAGGGAACGGTCACTAGAAAACATGTACAATACATGTCACAACACGTGTAGTTCTTCAAGAATTCACCACCGAAGAAACTTTCCTGCACCGTTTCGTCATCATCACTGAACGTAATGCTCTTGAAGCAATAAACCACGTTTGATAGCCGTCCTTGCACGAGGGACATTGGCATACTGATCCCTATCAGATAATGTGATTATCTAATGAAGCAGCAGCTAAAACCTACAATAACCAAGCTGACGCAAGTAATTCCGTTATTTTTATTTATTTATTTATTTTTTTTAAACCAACAGCTGAACCGGAGAAACGACATGTCAAACAAAAAGATTCATATTGTGCTTAATTAACTAGACTAGCGGGTTCTGAGTTTTTTTAAATTTTCAAGTTTTAACATTGTTCCATAATCAAATTTAACACATAAATCGTTTCTCAAGATGTCCACGACACGGTCCACACTGATCAGTTCACTTCGAAGTGATCTGCTGGGCCTCTTCCACATCATTTTTTTTATTCGTTTTTATTCCATGCGCCGAATTCCTACAACAGTCAAAATTCCAGAAATGCTATCATTAAGACTGGGCATTATATAGTACTGTACTGTTTCCATGTATCAGAAGGAAGAAAAAACTTCTCATTCCCGCGTTTGTGCCGTCTCGAGGACTACGAGCAACCATACCACACTGTGGATACTGTACTAGGATGACGATATTGACGTAGACGGGCTCCTTGCCTTCTGGAGCAAAAAAATTATACTGTACTGTACTTACTTCCACAAATCAATTTCACGGATCGCCCGCAACAATTCACTCATTTCAACCATATTCGAATCGTTTTTAACCGGTAACTTGTTCGGCTGCCGCCGCTCAGACGGACGGACGGACGAAGCGCGCGCGGGGACAGATGAACGGGGGAAGAACACGTAAGCATTCAGTCATACGAGAAACGCGCCGTGGATTAAAAGGAGGGAGTGTGCGGAGAGGATGGGAGGGAGGCGGCGAACGTAAAAACCGGACGGACACATTTCTTCAGCGATCCGGCGCCGGGGAATGATCAGCGTTGCCAACTGAACACAGAACACTGGGGGGCCGACATAGGGACACGTCATAAGTAGAAATATCTGACCCGACATCCAGAGAATGTTTCGATATAAAAACACGACACCAACCTTCCTAGACAAATTGAAAAATTTCATTCTTCAAAATGTTGATATCAAACAAATTGAGCTTTTACACGGTGGTTACAAAAATTAAATATGTATTGTATTTTATTTTTCTGACAAATAAACAGGAAAATCAATTAAAATGATTGAGACTCCAAAATACGGAAAACCCAATGGGCAGACAATTTGACTTGGGGACACATAAACTGTTGAAAAATCTGACCAAGCATCTGGACACTTTTCCAACATTTATAGGAAATTTTAATATTTGTTAATTTTCAAACATTTGTATAGCTCTTGAACAAATTGAAATATTTATATTCATAAAAGTTGAAAATAAATTTTATTTTTATTATACATTTGAGTAAATATATACAGTAATAAGTTAATTTTGTGCTTCTTTTTTGGGTATTCTCCATTATTTATGCACAGCACTGTATAGCAAAATTCGTATTTTTTCTTCACTTCTTGGGGTCCTTTTGATACCAGAAATTCTGATTCTGTGTGGTTTTCTTCCATACAGTTAAATTCTGTATCTTTCAATTGAGAAATACATTTCATTCAATTTTTTTGGGGAATTTATTCCTAATTTTTGATGAACTGGAGAACCAATTACTGTACTGTATATCAGCTCTTATTGAAAGTCTATGGGAAAACGTGATCCGGGGAAGTGTACTTCCCCCGTTGGATGCTCCAATACATAAGGACCATGGCCAATTGTCCACATCTTGGGGCCCCACTGTAACCTCTTTAGCTTGTTGACAGTACAATATTCTCGCAATCGGAACCAGAAAACCGCAAGACAACCGTGAATGCCATTAAACATACTCCCTTTTTTAGGATTCTGCAGGTAACGTGACCAAATCCCAAATAGAGTCCGGATTTTCAGAGTAGCTGGTTTTTTGGTTAGCTTAGTTAAGTAACGATAGGCTACAACGTTGAGTTAGTTCAGGATGGGATAGTTTCAGGCTTTCGATTTTAATGTTAAACGTCAGCACAACTAAAATTTCTAAAGGAATGACGGCAATTTTTGCCCAGACGAAGATCCACGCAGAAGAATCACAATGGAATGTTCTGTTCATTCGATTCCCTCGTGAAAAGAACGTTGAAAATTCAGAATGAATGGGTTGAGGGTGAAAGTTTCCTGGTTTGGACTCCGTTGCGGAATCCATAAGGTAAGATCAAGGAGATTGCTCAAAATTTTTCGCCCCAAGAAATCCGCTGTTTCATTCTTGCCCACAAAAGAAATAGACAAGAATGGCTTCAATTATTGACAGAGCGAACACCTATTCCATTTTGAAGATTGATCTCACGAATAGTTTGAATTTATTGGAGCAAACAGCCCTAGAACATTTTGATAACCCACGGAGCGCGAGATTTTCGAATTAAAATTGGAGCAACACCTGTAATTGTACTCGAGAATCAGTTTTTCACTGCTCCGCAAAATTTATTCACCTCGGTTTTCCACAAGTAGGCGTATTTCCCGGAACTGCATTGCATATAGGTCGAACATCAAGCAATGCAAAGCAGTGTACTGTATTGCATCTCAAAATCAAAAGTTTCATCACAGCGAAATTTATTCTACAAAAACAGACACGGATGGACCAAAGGTGCGAAAGTATTCCGCGGATTCCATCTCAAGTCCGAAAAAAAAACCGTCCTTCAAGAAGCTCCTCTCTGGTATGCATCCATACCGCAGCTCAATTCAAAGCACGAATCGTGGCTCGAAAGTCACGCCAGACGTTTCCACAGCCGAAAAAAATGGTGTTTTCGCTCTAAGCCTCGTTCGTTGCTCAGTTCCACGAACGCGGAATTAACATTCGATGAACCCCAAGAAAACCAGGTGACGAAATACACTTGTTTTCTCGTCTACAGCATGTCTTCGTCACACCTTCTCAAGCTCGGTGATCCACATACCACGAAAGAACCGTTACGTTTGACTAATTCTCGTACAACGAAGCAGTCGACTTCTGCGGGCTTCCATACGCACGCGTTTCGGAACGAAGAATGATGATCTTCATGCAAACGAAAGAGACACAATTAGGGCTGAAAATGATGCATCACGGCGGGGATTAAAGCTGGAGTTGCGTTCAGTTTGTCGGGGGAAAACATGCGGGAAGTGAAAGCGAGTTG